GTGAACACCACCAAGCATCTAGAGTGAACACCGCCACGCGTCTAGAGTGAACACCACCACGCGTCTAGAGTGAACACCGCCACGTGTCTAGAGTAAACACCGCCACGCGTCTAAAATGAACACCACCACGCGTCTAGAGTGAACACCACCACGCATCTATAGTAAACACCACCACGCGTCTAGAGTGAACACCACCACGCGTCTAGAGTGAACACCGCCACACGTCTAGAGTGAACACCGCCACGCGTCTAGAGTGAACACCGCCACGTGTCTAGAGTGAACACCACCACGCGTCTAGAGTGAACAGAGTAAACACCACCACGCGTCTAGAGTGAACACCCCCACGTGTCTAGAGTGAACACCGCCACGCATCTAGAGTGAACACCGCCACGCGTCTAGAGTGAACACTGCCACACGTCTAGAGTGAACACCGCCACGCGTCTACAGTGAACACCGCCACGCGTCTAGAGTGAACACCGTAACACGTCTAGAGTGAACACCGTCACGCGTCTAGAGTGAACACCGCCACGCGTCTAAAGTGAAAACCGCCACGCGTCTAGAGTCAACACGTGTCTAGAGTGAACACCACCACGCGTCTAGAGTGAGCACAGCCACGTGTCTAGAGTGAACACTGCCACGTGTCCAGAGTGAACACCACCACGCATCTAGAGTGAACACCGCTACGCGTCTAGAGTGAACACCGTCACGCGTCTAGAGTGAACACCGCCACGCGTCTAAAGTGAAAACCGCCACGCGTCTAGAGTCAACACGTGTCTAGAGTGAACACCACCACGCGTCTAGAGTGAGCACAGCCACGTGTCTAGAGTGAACACTGCCACGTGTCCAGAGTGAACACCACCACGCGTCTAGAGTGAACACCGTAACACGTCTAGAGTGAACACCGTCACGCGTCTAGAGTGAACACCGCCACGCGTCTAAAGTGAAAACCGCCACGCGTCTAGAGTCAACACGTGTCTAGAGTGAACACCACCACGCATCTAGAGTGAGCACAGCCACGTGTCTAGAGTGAACACTGCCACGTGTCCAGAGTGAACACCACCACGCGTCTAGAGTGAACACCGCCACGCGTCTAGAGTGAACACCCCACGCGTCTAGAGTGAACACCGCTAAGCATCTAGAGGGAACACTGCCACGCGTCCAGAGTGAACACCACCACGCGTACAGAGTAAACACCGCCATGCGTCCAGAGTAAACACCACCACGCGTCCAGAATGAACACCGCCACGCGTCTTGAGTGAATACCGCCACGCGTCTTGAGTGAACACCGCCACGCGTCTAGAGTGAACACCGCCACGCGTCTAGAGTGAACACCGCCACGCGTCTAGAGTGAACACCACCACGCGTCTAGAGTGAACACCGCCACGCGTCTAGAATGAAAACCGCCATGTGTCCAGAGTGAACACCACCACGCGTCCAGAGTGAACACCACCACGCGTCCAGAGTGAACACCGCCACGCGTCTAGAGTGAACACCGCCACACGTCGAGAGTGAACACCGCCACGAGTCCAGAGTGAACACCACCACGCGTCCAGAGTGAACACCGCCACGCGTCTAGAGTGAACACCACCACGTGTCTAGAGTGAATACGTGTCTAGAGTGAACACCACCACGCGTCTAGAGTGAACACAGCCACGTGTCCAGAGTGAACACCACCAAGCATCTAGAGTGAACACCGCCACGCGTCTAGAGTGAACACCGCCACGCGTCTAGAGTGAACACCGCCACGCGTCTAAAATGAACACCACCATGCGTCTAGAGTGAACACCACCACGCGTCTAGAGTGAACACCGCCACGCGTCTAGAGTGAACACCCCACGCGTCTAGAGTGAACACCAACACGCGTCTAGAGTGAACACCACCACGCGTCTAGAGTGAACACTGCCACACGTCTAGAGTGAACACCACCACGCATCTAGAGTGAACACAGCCACGTGTCCAGAGTGAACACCACCAAGCATCTAGAGTGAACACCGCCACGCGTCTAGAGTGAACACCACCACGCGTCTAGAGTGAACACCGCCACGTGTCTAGAGTAAACACCGCCACGCGTCTAAAATGAACACCACCACGCGTCTAGAGTGAACACCACCACGCATCTATAGTAAACACCACCACGCGTCTAGAGTGAACACCACCACGCGTCTAGAGTGAACACCGCCACACGTCTAGAGTGAACACCGCCACGCGTCTAGAGTGAACACCGCCACGTGTCTAGAGTGAACACCACCACGCGTCTAGAGTGAACAGAGTAAACACCACCACGCGTCTAGAGTGAACACCCCCACGTGTCTAGAGTGAACACCGCCACGCATCTAGAGTGAACACCGCCACGCGTCTAGAGTGAACACTGCCACACGTCTAGAGTGAACACCGCCACGCGTCTACAGTGAACACCGCCACGCGTCTAGAGTGAACACCGTAACACGTCTAGAGTGAACACCGTCACGCGTCTAGAGTGAACACCGCCACGCGTCTAAAGTGAAAACCGCCACGCGTCTAGAGTCAACACGTGTCTAGAGTGAACACCACCACGCGTCTAGAGTGAGCACAGCCACGTGTCTAGAGTGAACACTGCCACGTGTCCAGAGTGAACACCACCACGCATCTAGAGTGAACACCGCTACGCGTCTAGAGTGAACACCGTCACGCGTCTAGAGTGAACACCGCCACGCGTCTAAAGTGAAAACCGCCACGCGTCTAGAGTCAACACGTGTCTAGAGTGAACACCACCACGCGTCTAGAGTGAGCACAGCCACGTGTCTAGAGTGAACACTGCCACGTGTCCAGAGTGAACACCACCACGCGTCTAGAGTGAACACCGTAACACGTCTAGAGTGAACACCGTCACGCGTCTAGAGTGAACACCGCCACGCGTCTAAAGTGAAAACCGCCACGCGTCTAGAGTCAACACGTGTCTAGAGTGAACACCACCACGCGTCTAGAGTGAGCACAGCCACGTGTCTAGAGTGAACACTGCCACGTGTCCAGAGTGAACACCACCACGCGTCTAGAGTGAACACCGCTACGCGTCTAGAGTGAACACCCCACGCGTCTAGAGTGAACACCGCTAAGCATCTAGAGGGAACACCGCCACGCGTCCAGAGTAAACACCACCACGCGTACAGAGTAAACACCGCCATGCGTCCAGAGTAAACACCGCCACGCGTCCAGAATGAACACCGCCACGCGTCTTGAGTGAATACCGCCACGCGTCTTGAGTGAACACCGCCACGCGTCTAGAGTGAACACCGCCACGCGTCTAGAGTGAACACCGCCACGCGTCTAGATTGAACACCGCCACGCGTCTAGAGTGAACACCGCCACGCGTCGAGAGTGAACACCACTATGCGTCTAGAATGAACACCGCCATGCGTCCAGAGTGAACACCACCACGCGTCCAGAGTGAACACCACCACGCGTCCAGAGTGAACACCGCCACGCGTCTAGAGTGAACACCGCCACACGTCGAGAGTGAACACCGCCCCGAGTCTTGAGTGAATACCGCCAAGCATCTAGAGTGAACACCACCACGCGTCTAGAGTGAATACGTGTCTAGAATGAACACCACCATGCGTCTAGAGTGAACACAGCCACATGTCCAGAGTGAACACCACCAAGCATCTAGAGTGAACACCGCCACGCGTCTAGAGTGAACACCGCCACGCGTCTAGAGTGAACACCGCCACGTGTCTAGAGTAAACACCGCCACGCGTCTAAAATGAACACCACCACGCGTCTAGAGTGAACACCACCACGCGTCTAGAGTGAACACCGCCACGCGTCTAGAGTGAACACCCCACGCGTCTAGAGTGAACACCAACACGCGTCTAGAGTGAACACCACCACGCGTCTAGAGTGAACACTGCCACGCGTCTAGAGTGAACACCACCACGCGTCTAGAGTGAACACAGCCACGTGTCCAGAGTGAACACCACCAAGCATCTAGAGTGAACACCGCCACGCGTCTAGAGTGAACACCGCCACGCATCTAGAGTGAACACCGCCACGTGTCTAGAGTAAACACCGCCACGCGTCTAAAATGAACACCACCACGCGTCTAGAGTGAACACCACCACGCGTCTAGAGTGAACACCACCACGCGTCTAGAGTGAACACCGTCACGCGTCTAGAGTGAACACCCCACGCGTCTAGAGTGAACACCAACACGCGTCTAGAGTGAACACCACCACGCGTCTAGAGTGAACACTGCCACGCGTCTAGAGTGAACACCACCACGCGTCTAGAGTGAACACTGCCACGTGTCCAGAGTTAACACCACCAAGCATCTAGAGTGAACACCGCCACGCGTCTAGAGTGAACACTGCCACGCGTCTAGAGTAAACACCGCCACGCGTCTAGAGTGAACACCGCCACGCGTCTAGAGTTAACACCGCCACGCGTCTAGAGTGAACACCTCCACGCGTCTAGAGTGAACACCGCCACGCGTCTCGAGTGAACACTGCCACGCGTCTAGAGTGAACACCGCCACGCGTCCAGAGTGAACACCGCCACGCGTCCAGAGTGAACACCGCCAAGCGTCCAGAGTGAACACCGCCAAGCATCCAGAGCGAACACCGCCAGGTGTCTTGAGAGAACACCGCCACGCGTCTAGAGTGAACACCGCCACGCGTCCAGAGTGAACACCGCCACGCGTCCAGAGTGAACACCGCCACGCGTCCAGAGTGAACACCGCCACGCGTCCAGAGTGAACACCGCCACGCGTCCAGAGTGAACACCGCCACGCGTCCAGAGTGAACAGTCCAGAGGTGGGACAAAGTCATTGTTATGCAAGTCACAAGTAAGTCTCAAGTCTTTGCTCTCGAGTCCCGAGTCAAGTCGAGTCAAAGATGGGGCAAGTCCCAAGCCGAGTCAGAAGTTGAAGTCTGCAAGTCTCAAGTCGAGTCCGAAGTCTTACCATTTTAGTTTCGAGTCATTTCAAGTCCTCTTACCACAGAAATAAAATTTATACAAATCATGTATGTCTGTAAGATTTGTATTTATTTAAACCTCTTTTTATACAATGACATTAATCAAACACAGTAAAAAACAGAAAATTTAATTTTCACAAAAAATGCTCTTATTTCAACAGCATATTGCACTAGAACAATGCACAGCAGCTTCAGTCCTGTATTGCATTGACCTCATATTGCAAAACAGTTTAACTTTCAAATAGACATGGGTTCTTTTAGCCTAAACTTTTTTAAACATGTCATCAATAAAATCCTCACTCCTCAAAATTATCACTTCTGAAAAACTGGACCAACCTGATAATATAATTGGAATGCCTCCATAGAGACTGGTGTGTATGAGAGAGAGAGAGCTGTGTGGACAGGTGATGAGCAGAGAGTGAGTGTGTGTGCGCATGCGTGCTGTGGACAGGTGGAGGGAGGCCCCTACACTGCATTGCATTTGCAAAAGATCAAATTGGCCAAAAGTCTGTCAGTCATTTGTGCATGATGGGGACGCAGAATGATGCCACCATGGCTGAAAACTCGCTCCACTGGAGCACTAGAAGCAGGCACTGCCAAGACTCGGATGGCTACTTGAAAGAGTGAAGGAAGAGTCTTACTGTTCAGTGCCCAGAACAAAAGGGCATTCTGTCCTTCTGCCATGTCAATGTAGTGACTTAGCTGTACTGCTGGTGGGGTCCCAACATCCATTTTCTGCCTCTTATGGTATGCAGCAAACAGCCCTTCTCCTTCCATGTCCTCTAGTTCTTCTTCAGCAGGCACCGGCACAGGCACAGGTTGCTCCGTCTCTGCAGCATCTTTCAGGATCAATTCTAAGAAAACGTGTCACAACAGCAGAAACAAAAGAGCTCTTATTACCATTACTGATGTTGATGATACTGTGCAAGACTGAAAATTGTTATTATTGTTAAAGTCAGATTAATATCACATTAGATCCTAGATCAGATTAAGATCAAATTATTCTACGTTGCATTTAAGTTGCATTGCAAGTCAATAAGATTTACCTTTAACTCGTTGTGCCACCTCTGCCTTGATGTCACGGTTGACCAGCACATGGGGCTCAATCCACAGCAGACAAAAGGCTGGATCCAAAGCAGCTGCTTTCAGGTAGACTGTGTCTGAAAAGGGGGCAGTGATCCCTTCTTGAGACTGGGCCATTTTCACATTAATGAAGATCCCAAGAAATCTTTTTTCCAGGGATGCCTGCAGACCTCTGACCAGGCCGCTCAGGAAACGAACTTGAGGCTTCAGCTTCTCAAGATGGTGATTGAGGGACAAGATGGATGGAACAACTGCACTGATTGTAATGACTTTCTCCCCCTGTGTCAAATCAGTTGCTTCTCCGAACGGTTTCAAGATGTCCACCAACTCCTTCAGCAGATTCCACTCTTGTAGTGTGAATGAGTTCTTTATGCCCGGCCTTCTCAAGAACTGCGCAGAGCTTTTGCTGATCACAATGAAGGACTGCTTTCACCTGCCGCAGTGTAGAATTCCACCTCGTGCTCACTGCAGCAGGGATGCCTCTGTGCTCCCCAAATTCACCATCGAATATGTCTTTAAACGTTGTGCTTGTGTGGAGCAGGGAGCTAAGTTTTGATAACTTGGAGAGAGAAGGACATGCCGCTTTTGTTTCTTTCAAACCGTCTCCCACCACCAGCTGCAATGTGTGTGCAAAACACTGCAGGCGCTGTTTCTTTGCCATAGCAGCATCGACGGTTTGCTGGTCTTCTAGGGTTAAGTCATGCCATAGCTCAGGATCATCAAGATTATCTCCAGCATCATCATATTCCTCCTGTTCGCTGGGGAAGCAGACCGTAAATGCCTTGCGCATGTTAGCAGCATTGTCACTAATGATATAGTCCAATTTAGCTTTGATGTTGTATTCATCACATATTGCCTCAAATTGGTCACAGATGCGCTCCGCTGTGTGAGAGCCTTTGAAGCGGTTGCAGGCCAAGAGATTTGTCTTTAGCTGTACCCTCTCTGCATCTCTCTCCATCCAGTGCACAGTGACACCAAGGAATCCCCTCATCTTTCGATCAGACCAAATGTCCACAGTGACTGAAACATGGTCAGTGTTGCTCAATTGAGTTTTTAACTTTGAACGTCTCTCCTCAGCAAGGCTCTCTGTTTTTGTGGTCAGCGTTCGGCGACAGACTGGGGTATACTTGCTGTCCAGCACAGCCAGAAAGTGACGAAAGCTCTTATTTTCCACAATAGATAGAGGAAAATTGCAATCAATAATCAAGTCAGACAGTATCGCATTGGAGATGGCCTTCTGCTGTGGGTGGCTCATGCTGTAACGCCCTACACGAGTGTCTAGGAATTGTGAGATTGAAGGCTGTTGTGGTTCATCTACGATGCTTTTGTTCATCTGGTATTCTTCATACCTGTAACAGAAAAGAATATGAAACAGATGTCAGAAAATCCCTTATAGCCACACGTTGTATTTGAAACTACTCTTTACTCATATCAATGTTGTTGTGTTAATATTAATTGTCTATTGTACACTACGGTATATGATAATACATTTAAGTTTCAGTGTATGCAATATTAAGAATATTTTCACTGCTTCAAAAGTCATAAGAAAGCCCTTTCCCTCAAGAAACTGAAGTCATATGCTTTATAGCAGTGGTTTTCAAAGTGGGGACGGGGACCCCTGGGTGCCGCGAGGGGGTGCTAGGGGGGCCATGGCAAGTTGGCATGAAAAGTATAGCAAAACAAAATAATTGAATAAATTAAATAAGTAAAATAAACCAAATTAAACCAAAAATAAGCTAAACAATATCCCCATTAGTTAAGAACTGCACTATAATAATCTATTGCATCTCTGAACATTACTACTATAATCGTTATTATTTTATTATATACTGTATATATCCCAGTGGTGCGCTGCCTCACAGACCTAGACTACGGTAGCACGCTATGTCCATGCGCTGCCTGCTGTTTGGGCATGATATGAAAAGGGAAGGCTAATGGTGGATCTTCTGTGACTGTGTCATCATTTTCCTCTTTACAGTGTATATGTCTTACTATGTTTCCTGTTGTACTTGGATGGGTTTAGGGATGCACCAACTCCATCGAGTTGTGAAAGGAGGTGCACAGAAAAAAGAGTGTGGCATGGCCCATGTCAGGGGGCCTTGGCTGGAATCTACTGGTATATGGGGGGCCTTGTCATGGTAAAGTTTGGGAACCCCTGCTTTATAGTTCACTCTCTCCTGCACACCAGATTCCATGGTGCCTTGCTGCATCACACAGCAATTGCAGGTCTACTGCTGCCTCATTCATTGTTTAATTGTGATAGTTTATGTCTTCAGCGACAGTTCAGCTTAGTTGTGATTAACCAAAATTACATAAACGACCTCAATGAGGCAGCACACCAGCCACTCTGAAACTGAACGATTGAAAGAGTAAAACTGGAAGGCCTGTTTTGTCTCATGTGTGTTGGAGAGACTGAGATATACATTTGTGTTTATCCGTCTAGCAGCAAGGTAGAAATGATACTTTAAAACGGACGTTGACATGATGTTGAAGAGGTTTTCCATCTGAGTGTGCTACACTCATGTACCTCATATAATCGTGGTTCAAAAATCCCTATTTTTGTAAGCATTAACCAGCAAGGGAGACGTGCGTTTACTGTCTCGTTGATAGAGTAAATATGCAGCAGCTAGTAAGTTACGGTACATCCGATAAGGTGCTTAGCATTCGTTCAAAACTTACCTTTCTTTGTGCAACTTCAGGTGTCGAACAAAGTTAGACGTTGTGGCAACACCGTCTGTAATCTTCGACCCGCATGTTTTGCAAATTGCAACTCGTTTTTTGTCGACTACATCGTAATTTTTATAGCCAAACGAAACTATCTTCGGTATCATTTTGCCAACTGGCGCGTTGTTGCTTGTTGCGCTTCATTGGTTGTCTTGCAATGTGCCTGCTTAGATGCTGTCCAATCAAAACAACGTGGGACTACAGTGATTGGATGTCGTGCAGGCAGCGCGCGTGCTCTCTGCATGCATACAGGTGGTGCACATTTTTTTCACAGATGCAGATAAACTGAGAGCGGCGCGGCCGTGTGAACATTTTTTCCCCCAGTTTTCATGGGAAGTAGCAAGTCTTCTCGAGTCAAAAGGCGCAAGTCCAAGTGAAGTCACGAGTCATTGATGTTTAAAGTCCAAGTCGAGTTGCAAGTCTTTGTATATTTTGTCGAGTCGAGTCTGAAGTCATCAAATTCATGACTCGAGTCTGACTCGAGTACAAGTCACATGACTCGAGTCCACACCTCTGAAGTCCGCCACGCGTCTAGAGTGAACACCACCACGCGTCTAGAGTGAACACCGCCACGCGTCTAGAGTGAACACCACCACTCGTCTAGAGTGAACACCGCCACGCGTCTAGAGTGAACACCACCACGCGTCTAGAGTGAACACCACCACGCGTCTAGAGTGAACACTGCCACGCGTCTAGAGTGAACACCACCACGCGTCTAGAGTGAACACCACCACGCTGTTGACAAAGCCTCACCTTGTTGTTGTGGGCAGGTCGCATTTCCCATAAATATGCTAAATTCCTGTTGATATGCAAATTCCTTTGTTAATGCGCCCAGCTTATATATTTGCTCCAAGCCCGTGTGCTGTTTCATTCAGACTCTGTCGCCTCGACGGACCTGGTTTTCACCTGAGGACGGCTGCTTGCGTTGTGGCCGAAACGTCGTGAGAATTGTTTTATTATGTTTTATTTTTATTATTTTATTACTTCCCTTCTACGTGACTTTACCGAAAGAACCAAGAAGATGAATCCCTGCAGTCACGAAAGCTTTAAATCGAAATTTAACCGCCTCTACGGGGAGGGTTTCCACATAACTTTGAGATCCTTCAACAAGCTCCGGGATAAGAAGGCTCAGCTAATCGAGTCTCTCACCTTTCTGAAGAGATGCCGCGACTCTAAGGTAATACCAAACGCATTTACACTAACATCTGCTGCTGTAACTTCTTCTAATGCGAAACGAATTCTGTCTAGAACTAGTTACACATTAGGGTGGGTAGAATAATACATAGTGTTATATTAAAATGAATAAGGCAGCAAGTGCAGCAGCAGCAGCAAGTGCAGCAGCAGCAGTAAGTGCAGCAGCAGCAGCAAGTGCAGCAGCAGCAGCAACTGCAGCAGCAGCAGCAACTGCAGCAGCAGCAGAAACTGCAGCAGCAGCAGCAACTACTGCAGCAGCAGTAACTGCAGCTCCCTTTGATGCTGTTAATCCTGCATAATGCACATGCATATGCAGTACTAATTACATTCCTGCATTTCCCATAAATATGCTAAATTCCTGTTGATATGCAAATTCCTTTGTTAATGCGCCCAGCTTATATATATGCTCCAAGCCCGTGTGCTGTTTCATTCAGACTCTGTCGCCTCGACGGACCTGGTTTTCACCTGAGGACGGCTGCTTGCGTTGTGGCCGAAACGTCGTGAGAATTGTTTTATTATGTTTTATTTTTATTATTTTATTACTTCCCTTCTACGTGACTTTACCGAAAGAACCAAGAAGATGAATCCCTGCAGTCACGAAAGCTTTAAATCGAAATTTAACCGCCTCTACGGGGAGGGTTTCCACATAACTTTGAGATCCTTCAACAAGCTCCGGGATAAGAAGGCTCAGCTAATCGAGTCTCTCACCTTTCTGAAGAGATGCCGCGACTCTAAGGTAATACCAAACGCATTTACACTAACATCTGCTGCTGTAACTTCTTCTAATGCGAAACGAATTCTGTCTAGAACTAGTTACACATTAGGGTGGGTAGAATAATACATAGTGTTATATTAAAATGGATAAGGCAGCAAGTGCAGCAGCAGCAGCAAGTGCAGCAGCAGCAGTAAGTGCAGCAGCAGCAGCAAGTGCAGCAGCAGCAGCAACTGCAGCAGCAGCAGCAACTGCAGCAGCAGCAGAAACTGCAGCAGCAGCAGCAACTACTGCAGCAGCAGTAACTGCAGCTCCCTTTGATGCTGTTAATCCTGCATAATGCACATGCATATGCAGTACTAATTACATTCCTGCATTTCCCATAAATATGCTAAATTCCTGTTGATATG